AAAAAAAAAAATAGCGAGAATTTTGAAGAAATAAACCACAATTATGCACATTCATGATGGGTAAAATACCTGATCCTGCGCCTTCCTTAGCTGTTTTTCTCTTTCATACTGTGTTATCAGTTGCTCATTATCTTCCTTAAGCATTTCCAAATCAACTGAGCACTCTTCTTTTTCCAGATATGCAAGGTCCAGACTTTCCAGTACATTGACAACTAGTGGCATAAGATTCTGCAAAATTTATTCTAACTGAACTGAAATCTTGAAATTTTCATGTATTTTGACCGAATGAGTAAGTTTGCTTGGAAAAAACCTTCAAATTTTTGGAAAAATCAAAGCCATTTTCTAATCTGAAGGAGAAAAAGAAATCATTACAGAACTGAAATGAATTCTTTCGCAAAATAGTGTCATCATTCAGAAATTCAGAAAAGGAACAATAATTACTTTGACACTGTCCTCTCCATTTTTCCCTATCATAGTTTCGAACTCTTTGTAAATTGATGAAGCAAGCATTTGCACTTTTTCTGACATAACGCGATTGTCATCACCTGTTGAACCGACTGATCCAGTAGCGCCGTACACTATCTATCATAAAACTTGCATTATCAATCAAGAGGAAACAATCATTGACTGTTTGTGTGGCATCTCTAATAAGTCTGCACAAATAGCTACAACTTGAATATACATAATAATTACTTGAAAAAATTGTTTAAAAAGAAGCACATCTTCAGCAAGTACAAGTTACACTAGGGATCTAAGTTCAGAATGGTATACAGATGACAGAGTACACTGGACTGAACTAATTAAACGGCGATATCAGATGCTACCTTCCCGAAGGGAGGGAGAAAGGTAATACGATAACATATACTGGACAGAGGGAAGGGACAACACTCAACCAGGTGAGCATAAAGTTAAAAATACTGCAAGTTATGCTGTCTGGAGGAAAAAACATATTAGGGATAGAGTGTCACAGGTAAGGGATTAGTTCCCGGTTATCTATATCGGCCAATTACACAATTGCTGTTTCCATTTCTTGAGAGAATGTCAACGATTAATATCGAAAAACATCAGTGGAGAATCCTGATGAACACAAAAGGTGCCACTTTACATTGTGGTGATTCTAAATAACAATTACTAAAAATAGTATGCTTGATGTCAACAATATGTATGTATACATCTGAAAGTGATGAGGATGAGAGGATCGGCAGGTAGAGAAAAACATCTGCTATTGCATCAACACAATGATGATATCTTCTCTTTTTTGACAATTATTTCTATCACAGATTAATTCAGAAATTAATTTTTAGGCTAAAATGAAGATAAAAATGGTGTAGCGATCTGCCAAAGAACATATATGAATACTTAAAGAAATCCCCCCTCTTCTAAGAACATCTAGATACCAATGGTAATACAAGAGTAAGAACTATATGCATACCTCACTGCTACTGCTATTTGTGGAAGAATGCATCGCGCTGCTGTTCTGGGCTACCTCCATCATTCTGTATTCCGTGCCACACTTCCCAATAAAAATGTTGGCCCCAAAATTGGGGACGTAGTCGTTAACTCCACTTCTGAGCCAGCTATAAAGAGAGTTGTAGAAATTGAATCAAATTATGAGAACGTTTACGCAATATCAAATGTTTGCATCAGACTGATGAGTTATGGAAATGATACAAGTACGCTGATGATGAACAATAAAAATGAGGGGAAAAAGATGGAAAAGAAAGAAAGAGAGATAATTAACGCCTCTCAAATCACTGTCATGCTTTCCACACAACAACATGATTACAGTAATGAGCTTAGAAGGATTCATCGGGAATCATTAGGGGCATGGTCATATGGCAGGTCAGCATGTGCCAATTCAAAAAATATCGATTAAATTTCTAAAACTTTCTGCAAGTATCTGAATGCTCGAAAGCTGTCAACATATTTCTCATATTAAGTTGAAGAATGAAAGGATGTCAACTATTATTTCACACCTCAATCGGTTTGCCTTATGATATCAGAGAACTATTTGTCGTGGTGATAACAAGGGGAAACATTTGCTATCAACACAGTGATAAGTAGGTAAAGCTATCGTTGGTAGCGTTATACGTATAAGGACGAAGCAACCAGTGCATGAAAGTTTTCCCGGTCAAAGATGTATCGAAATCAATGGAAGGTTATCACTAAATTGATGCTCGAAACGAAGGTCAGCAAGGCACTGATAACAGCTGATAAATGGCAACTGGAATCATTCCCTCCTCCTCATTTAACTTCCACTCTCAATTTAATGTGTCGTCTCCAATGCCATGAGCAAGTACTGTCTAAGCTCAATGTTGTGCTAGAGAACATACTCGCTTAAGGGACCGCCAAGAATTGCCTCACATTCTACTTCAAACACTTCTCCCAAAGACCTTCAGCATCTCCTCCTTCTACCCTTTGTGATACTCCATCATCGATCGATTCCTATTCTCTGCACTTCTGCGCATACACACATACACATACACATACACATACACACACACACACACATACACACACACACACACACACACACACACACACACACACACACACACACACACAC